ATGTGGCATAGAAATGACAAATGGAACAAGCTAAAGCATTTAATACCTGGTAGGCAACAAAATGAATGAATTCTGTGCTTGTAAAGCCAGAATGGCTCTTTTTAAGAGACCTTTTCATGGAGATCTACAGCTATACAACCCCATCTGACATTACAGGTGTAGACCAACCAGACTGTCTCTCCAACTCTGTACTTCCACAGCTTATATTCTAGCCCTTCTAAGTCTGACGAACATCGCCGCAAGAAGCATGAGGTAGGTTAAAGTGAACATCGGGATGAACGGGAAACCCGAGGGAAGGAGAGGCAAGGAAGCTTAGAGCAGGGAATCTGTAGTGATGGGGTAACAGATTATTTACAATAGGCTGCAGCATCCTGGCAGGCAAAGGGAGGGGAGACTTTGGTCATTGTTCCTGTCTGGCCAAGCAGAATTAGTAGCTGACTTGCTTCTACATGGGTGCAAGGCTGAATCAAGGCCAGCAGGTTAATAAGATTTATGTTCTTTCAGTCCTGTGAGCTGTTAGGTCCTATTAATTTTCAGGTAAATAATGTCAGTGGCAGACAGGTCCACTATTACGTTATTTCTATAAAAAATGTCCAGGCTTTGAGAACAAAAGCCTACTTCAATATCTGGAGCCACTCAGATTTTTACTAAATATATGGAGGTTAGAGTTCAACCACAAAAAGTTTTTCATATATTAACCCAAACTGTATATAATCAAAATTTAATTAAAATAATTTTTAAATTGCTGTCACAAGCTAGAACAAATCTAAAAAGAAATAATAACTAAAATAACAATTTTTAATAAAGAATAATTAAATACTCCGGGATTTCTCTTTTTCTGGTCAGCAGGACATCTACTGTCAAAATTAATCTTCAGGCAGGTTGTTAAATACAAAACATCTCTACAAGCACACTAACATTTTAAATTAATTTTTGGTTTATTAAGTTTAAGTCCTCAGATTCTGCATCATATTCAGTGTTGTACTAGTGAAGTTTATTTCATAATTTAGCTTGAAGTCTTTTGTGACTTTCGGTAATCAGTCTACATAATCTAAATTTTGTCAAAAGTGTCAGAATGTATATCCTGATATACGACTTATATACTGGATACAGTGGTTTATGTGTCCTGAGACATGAAGATGGCAAACTTGATTTCCCATGAGACAAATCTTCCCCACACCACTTCAGCAGATAATAATTTATGAAACATAAAAAGCTTAAGCAAAATCTTGACTTCTCTGGATCAAGGATCATTTTGTGATTTCCTCCAACAGGGACAGAATTCCTCCCTGATTCATGCCTGGACCTCCACCTAACAATCCTATCTCCAACCACCTTCCTGTTGAAGCTGCTTCTCAAACCAGGTCGCAGTAATACCCACAGCAGTTCTGAAATCCTGCCACAAAAATCCAGGATCTGCAGCTGACAATTTCTAGCAAGAAGAGCCATGGAACAGTCATTTTCACTCTCAGCTGATACGGTGGGCATAAGCAAAAGACCTTAGTTGGAGCACACTTAGTGCCAATGCTTTTGCATATCTATATAGTTCAAAAATCTTATCACGTGATCTGAGAGAATCTGAGATCTCCAGACACATACAGATCAATCCAAATATTTTTATTCTGTGAGAGAAAAAGTAGGTATATCCACCTTGTCAGAAAACTGTTACTACTAAACATGCATTGAAACAACGGCAGACAGACAGAGATAATGCCACCAAGTAAGCTGAGTGCAACTGCCTGTTGATGGGCATATCTGTTTATGAAAACTTGCCTACTTGCTCCAAGCACAGGTACAATCTGCCCTTTTGCAATTAAGTACTTAAGAATCAGTGCCCAATTCTCATTTAGGAATTCCAGCACTGAAAAAAGTAAGAGCATATTTATTTCAGTAGGAATTTTGTCTGTAAACACATTGAAAGATAACATGCAAAATATGTGATTATAATCAGGGGTCATAGGCTTCTTCCTTTGCTTTTAGAAATGCCTTCTCTGTCCCTTCATTTATGCAACAGTCAGACAAATGACCTGTTTGGTATTAGTGAATGATTTTGACCTTACAACTCAGAAAAAATGAATTGCGTGGAAAAATCATTCATGCTGAAAATCTGAATGCCAAAGCTCTGCAAACAATTTACCTCTAAAGCACTACCAAAGCTTAAGTAAAAAGATACAATTTGAAGTACACATTACAAGTATCATTACTGGTTCTAAGATGACCACCACACCTCTTCTGTTCCTGTAAGTACTGCAGTTCCAGTCCTACCTCCCCAAATTTTTACAATAGTGCTCAGGGAAAGAAAACACTGATCTAGAGTGACTGAGGCAAAATTTTAGTCTTGCGGATGTTCTTCCAGGCAGCATTAATCATCATGATATTTTCATGCTTTCAACAAGAGATGTACTTGAAATATATTTGCACAACGGCTGCCCCAAAATATGCAAATACAAGTATTGGCTGGGCCAGGAAATTTCAGATGGAAATTTTAGTACACATTTAAATCAGTATTTCTGGCATTTGAATGCTTATAGTCTAAAATTAAAAAGTAGCAAATACTTACCACTTTAAGATTTAATCAGTAGAAACTGATACTGATTTTCAGATTTAAACAACCTTTAGATTTTCATATGAATTGCAGTTTTTGAAATGTTGCTAATATGGTGCTATTGAAACTTAAACCCTGTCAAAACTAGTCTTTGCTAGAATATTCAGTAACTAGCTATTTACATTTTTAAGACATAAACCCAATTATATGTCTGTCAAAGAGCTAATTACATAATACATATTAATTATATATTAATTATATATTAATTATATCATTTTTACTTAGCTATGCAATTAGCATCTGATTATATAATTTCATATTTTATAGTTGTTATGTCATTAGAAAAAAGGTAAGTTTTCAGCAAAACCCAACACAATGTACATTGGATAAGAATAAGACAGTGACATTTGTGAGTCACATCCACTGTTTCCAGATGGAAAAGTGCCTAGATGTGCTGTGAAACAAATGGACATGCTATTAACAGCAACTGGATATTAAAATTTACAATCTCTTCCAATCTTTTTATGTCACTTGGTATTTCTGGATGCAGTGATTATGTATTTAAAGACACACTGATCTGATCTTAGAGTGGACATGAAATTTATCTGAGAAAGCTAACTGCATTATGGAGGATTCTACACTGAATAATCGTTTTGCCAGAACATTATGAAGCAGAGTGATTTTATTTTAAAGAAAAGCAGATTCATTGGCTAGATACAGATTTTTTCAGTGTTCTAAGCAGTTTGAATTGATTGGGGGATCACTGTCATGTTCCAATTTCTATTGGTAACATCCTAGGAGCAGATTTTTGAAAGAATATTTTCACTGATCTTTCACAGGAGCAACTCTACACATATAGGATGGTGGGGAAAAAAGAGTAATTAAATGCAGGTTTTAAATTATATACTTGTTCAAATTTTGAGATGAGGCTTTAAGTTCCATGTAGTTACATGTAGAACATCATAGTAATTCTGATTGCCTTAACACTTGAGTCTACCCATGTGACTGCACTTAAAGATGTCATTCTCCAGAAAGATGTCCGTTTTTAAAATGTCACCTTACGATCACAGTAAAATGACTCGGCAAAAGAACATTTTTTTGGGTAGGCTTACCCAACAAAAACTCTGTGAGACAGTATCAAGGAGAAGGGAAGGCAGGGGGCCTCCATTCTTCTACCAGGTGTTTTCCTAAAGACACCAGATGCAAAAGTTTCACTTTGTCCAAGGATGTGATCAAAGGACTGAAGACTACAAAAGACATAAGTCAGAAATTCAGAAAAAAGGGTTGTGTGGCTAAGTCCAAAACCATCATTGCCAGCCTGATCCACTGGCAGTCACTTACTGGAGACACCAAAACCCTAAATACCACTCTAGAAACATCTTACCTGAGATCTACCCTTGCATGTGCTCAGACTTGCCCCAGACTGAGAAGAGAGCTACTTACTGCATTCATGCCATACCACTTGACATTTTACATCCTTCTGTGAAAGACTACCTCATACAGACTAACACAGACAGGCCCCTTTCAAAACGCAGCCAGAGCTGCTTTTTGAGGTGCTCCTGAGGGAAGCCATAACAAGGAATTGCTGTGTATCATGTTGACATTCATTCATACAGCCAGAGAGAAAAGAAAAAAAAAAATATGATGAAGTAATCAAGGGTAGGCTCAGGTTCATGCACAGATGGAGATACCTTTCTTTAGACCTGAGGCAGGTAACTTTTCGTATGTAGGATGTTGAAGTATACCCCAAATCTTAGTTTTTCTTTTTAGCTATTTCCTGTGTCGCTGTATGACAAAGATAAGAAGCTTCCATGTCCCACCACAATAAGCTAACAATTAAAATCAGCAAGTTCCAGTCTTGTGGGTAGGATATCATATGTGCAACAGAAATTCGGTTTCATTCAGTAATTATGACTTGGGTGGGTCACACAACTAAATACAAGAGCATAAATACATTTATTAAGCTAGTGTCATAAAACAGTTCTCAAATTCTCACTTCCTTCTATAAGGTGATTTTAGGTGGTTTCTGCAGTGTATATTAGCCCGTATCTGTCTGATCTGTGATTCTCCAACATGTTTTTGTTCAGCTGAAGACGTGGCTAGGCAACAACATGAGAAGAGTAAAGTAAGTAGAAGCCGTTATAAATACTAAATCATCCATCCTGCTTTTATATATATATTTGGAAACTTAAAGGTAAAAAGACTTATCTAAGGTTTACAGGATTTTACTATAGATCATTGGAAACAAGCAAACTCCTTCCACCATCATCTGTATCTGAGCACCACTGCAGGAAAAGAGTAATATTTATCTTTTTTTAAATAAATTATGAGATTCCACTTTCTTGTTCGATCTCTTTGCATCCTTGCTCAAATCATTAAGTTTACACATTGGAATTGCATTTCAGTACTTTCAGAAGAAAGAGACAACACAATGCACAGAAAAATAATCTCTCACCTTCTAGATCTTCCTTTTCAAAATGTGTTTTGAGAATGGAGCGAGTTCCACCTCTATCCACAACAGCCTCTTCATCATTTCTCTGCAAAACGCAAAAAGGATGGATTAGCTGCTTCTTATTTGGAAACTATCAGCAAGATTGCACAGTACTATGAAACAAAGATACTTTTAATATTTATTTAGTCACTCCTACTCAGGAACAAAAACGTTTCTAATAATTTAATTTTTCTTATTAAAATATATTCCTTATGCATGAGTTTTTATTAACATATGATTACAGCTACTTTGGATATGAAGAAATTCTTCTGTTAAAACCTGCAAGATGATGAGTAAACACTTGTTACTGGGAACTAAGGAAAACATGAGTCAAAAGGACAATGAAAGAGATGAGAGAAGAAATATCTGGTTGAGTCAGCTTTATTCTTGTACTCTGGAAGAAAGGGATTGCACATGTATTTTTCGCTTTAGACCAGGATCCTGAGATACATGTAGAATTCCCAAATTATTAGCACTAACACTCCTCATACTTTGGCAAAGCTAGAGAATGATATTCAGTGGCAATAAGATAAGAAAGAAAACTTCAATACCATGAAAACGACTGACTTCACTTACTGGTGAACTGCAAAGCTTTTGCTTTTCTTTACAAACACCAAGCTGTCATTGTAATAAAGGCAAATAGTGCACACTAACAACAGAAAACAGAAAAGCTATTTTTCCTCAGAAACATGTATTTCATGTTTAATTTTATACTGTAGTCACACATACATTTTAACTGCATTCTCTACTGCATTGTAAATGTATTACGTGATGAATTAGTGTATTGTGCTCAGGCTAAAAAAGCTACAGAAATCAGTGATTTTGGTCACTTCTGACATGGGAGAAAAAAAAAAAAAAACACATTAAGTAGAGAAATCTTTTGGGAGTTCAGCAAAAGGGCAGTGGATTCTGTGTTAAAGCAAATATTGGCTTCACTATGAGTTTGACATCACCAATTGTAAAAAGCAATTGCTAAGTCCATCCTGTACTTCACAACATGATTTAGAGTGGTTTCCAGTAAATAGCGATGAAGAAAAAATGAATTATACAAAAACATCAATTACTACATATATTTATTTGTCATTAGTGGAAGGGTTCTAGTAAGTGATTTTAGATCTAGAAATGCTTGATTTCAATATATAAAATTGGTTTCTTATTGGAAGTCGGAAGCAAGGAAACTTGAATATGAATGTTACATGATAAATACATATCTATATATAGAATGCAATAGAGTATAAACGGAAATTAAACTATACGAGCACCTCTCCTTAAAGAGCAGGTGCACCAGGCAAAAAGATTCACATCTAGAGCTGGATGTCGTGCATTCTGGATACAAATTTTTGTTTCAGACTCCTCTCTTTTTCAAAAATAGCTGTCATGCTGTAGCTCTCTGATATAGAAAAATCCTAGGAATGTGTCAGCACCAAGCATCTGGGCTGTTAGAGAGACTGAGAGCGTTAGTGTCTTTATTAGAGCCTTTCTGCAACCTGACAATGAGGAAAGGCCTTCTATTGAAACTGTTTTGTCTTCTAATAATTTAGAATTAGCTAATAATCTATTAAAATGTACCAGAGCAGTATAATTTCGCACAAACCATTTGATCATCTTAGGTAAAATGAATCCATTAGTTTAAGTAGTTAGACATAACTGGGCATGTTTGTCATGCTGGCATGATGCCATACCCCTGGATGAATGGTTAGGCAGGATGCCAAAGGCCAAGTACTACAGCCACATCAGAAGTAGCATAAGACACAGCCATCAGTATTTTACTGATCCTGAAAAGGACTTATGGAAGCAATTTTATGGGAAATTTACAATGGGGAAAATATTAAATTGCTGGACAGTTTAAAGCCTTTACAGATTATCTAAGTAAACTAAATACAAATTAATTCATTAATATTTATCAAAATATGCTCATACACTTGCGACTCCTCTTTTCCCATGTGTTCAATTTTCATCTTCTGGCAACCTTTTTCTTCCCTGCCTCCTCTTCCTGTAATGTCACAGCAAGTCTCAGCCTTGCCTCATTCTCTGAAGTGGGTTTACTCCATTAATATTACAGGGAAAAACAGCTTAATTGGGAGTATTGTGTTGTTGCCAATTCCCTTGTCAAACTCTGAGCAAAGTCCAATTAAACAGACCTTGCACTGTACACTCTCACTTCCCAGGGAGCGGTATGAAAGCCACCTTGCATCTACCAGCACAAAAGTCACACTGCATTTAGTCAAAGGAGTAATTTCTGTGATTCCTGTACTGCCTCCTTGGAGAAGGGAAGAAGGGAGGGAAGGGCTCCCTATTAGTTTGGTGCAATTAGGTCTTAATTTCATTTGGAGATAAACACTATCGCAATACAAGTAAAAATAGTGGCAGATCCACTGCATTTTCCCATGATGACTAGAGACTAGTAACATAATTTCAGTTTGTAATGCTCTTCTTTTTATTAGCATGTCAGGAAAAGTATGAAATTATTATTTTTAAGTGTTGCAATATGTAAGAGTTTGAACCAGAAAGGATAGGCAAGACTAACCATAAGTCAGTATCCTGGGTTTGAGTGAGTTGTGGGGTTTTTTTGGTAGCAGAGGAGGGGCTATAAGGGTGGTCCCCTGTAAACCAGTCAGTCACAGAAGATAGAATACATGCCCTGGATGACTTTTAATGGACCAAGCAGGCACCAACCTCCACACTAACATCCTCAAAGCCATGAATTCACTGCAGTTTTGCCTATCGGTTTCATCAGGATCAGAGTAACACATGAAAACTAAATGTTTTTCTCAGCCATGCCACATTCAGGTCAGAATTCTACCACTTCTTCCTTTCGCCCCATTTGAAGATTATGGAAGTCAGAAATTTTACATAGTGCGCAATCTGCTAGGACTGAGGTATTCGAACCACGTTTATATACTGCGGCAGCCTGCAAACAAATGTATGGACACACTGACCAGGTACGAGTCCTTGGAACTGTCCATTATTGCAATGAGTTGCTTGCTGAGTCCAGTGAACACTGTGGTCTACTGCTTAAAGCATGGGAGAGGGATCCAGGAAGTCCCCGAGTGCTAATCCTGGATCTGCCACTGACTTGCTGTGTGGCCTTGAGAAAGTCACTTAATCTCTGTGCCTCAGCTTCCCCATCTGTAAAATAGGGATAATAATACTTACTTATCTACCTTCCTCACCAGGCTGCTCTGTGCCATAATTAATATTCACACAGCATTTCAGAACTGTAAAACACTACAGAAGTGCTAAATCATTCAATTTAGGAAAGTGAGCAGTTTACCCATGTGAAAAGACGATGATAGGAAACAACAGATTGATAAAAATCAACATTTAGGCATAAAGTGGGGTTTTTTGACATCAAACCAACGTACATTAATACCTTGTAATAGTTTTACAGTGCACAGCTTTGACAATTTAACTGGACAAAGTTTACATAAAAATATACTGGACTTGCTTTCTGTTGGCCTAATTCAAGAGCAAGTCTACAGAAGCCAGTGGAATTATATTTCTGTGAAGCTGTAATCAGAGTGCAATAAACTTGTCATATATTTATAAACAACCTAGCATTTCCCTTTCTTTTTAATTATATTTGTTAATATTTGATGGTTTTATAATTATCATGCAATGGTTTACCTGAAATGTAAGCACAAAACTATTTCGCTAAAGCAATAAAATAACAGCAAACACACAGTAGAAGAAATACTGTATCTGGGATAAAAAAGTAAGAAAAAGCTGAGGCTTTCATGTGGAAACCACAAGCTCCTTAGAGACCAGGGCTCAGCAACTCTACTCAGCCCATGATTTCGCCTCTTACATTTTCCAAATGAATGCTGAAATGACCTTCACCACACAGCAGCATCTGCTGCACGTATTTCATAGGAAAAATCTATTTTAATGAGTTTTGTAAGTACAGTTGTTACTATTTTTGTCTGTACTAGAAGTTTAAACACAGTGGTGAGTACTGAAAAGCAGACAATAGAGTCCTCCTCTCCCATCCTTTACAGCATAACCACACATTGCAATCTTGAAACTTGTATTTGAAGTTGAACAAAATTTAAAGGGAAATAAGCTACCTTCAAAGACATTTGGCTTCTACTTTTTGGTATACAGTCATGAAGGAAGAAGGTCACCATGAGTGCTAGAAGTATTGACTTTCAACACTTAGATCAACAGCCTGCTTATCAGAGTATAAAGTGAGCTTGCAGATGTTGCCAGGAACCATAAGTGTATGGCTTAGAAGGAATAAAATGGCCTATGGTTTAGAAACTAAAACCAAATGTCTGAAGTGCTCTTTCCACCGATGTAATGGTAAAACTCGCTGCCCAGGATATTCCAAAGCTAGATAAACGACCTCCTGGAAAGCTTCCCAAATCAACCCTTATTAGTTATGATACAGCCCTACCTGTGATTCATAATGTGTTGCAAAGATTCTCAAACCTGTCACCTCACAGAACTGTGCACTGCCCTTCCACACCTCAGAGCAGTTTAAATAATTGAGAAACTACACATTTAGAAAAGCTGAGAAATGTCATTTTATGACAGATGTTTTCAGATGGTTTTAGTTATAGCTCTTATAAACTGTCCATGCTTTGTGTGGTAGATGATTGAGTGGAAAGAATAGAAAATAACTCCTTTGAAGTGCGAATCCATAAAAAGGCATATGACACACATTTTTAAATACGTATGTGCTAAGGTAAACAGACACCTGTAGAACTTCAGTATATTTATGGATGATGGAATTAGGACATAATCCTCATATTCTGGATGACAATGAAGTAGATTAAAGTCTAGGTGGCAATACACAGATTTTAAGTTATCTATAGATTTATTGTATGTATTTACCAAAAAAGAAAAACCAATACATGATCTTAAAAGACACTGCTGCATATATCATAAAAGCCACCTGAATATTGCACAAACATTCACTGAAGATCATGTGTGCTCATTGCTACAGTAAATGATAGTATAACAATAAATATACATTAGGAAATAGGAAACTGTTAGGACAGTAGGAAATTATTGAACAGTTGCAAAGAAAATATCTCACTGTCC